ACACAAGCTTCCAAGTCACAACAAAGTGAGTACTGTTCCAGCCATCAACTTCCAGTAGCATTATTAATAGCAAACAAGAAGATGTTAAAGAATTTGAAAAGGAAAAACACATGACAAAGAAGAAAGTGTGGAATCTAGTTTTCCCCTTAATGCCATCGAACCTTATGTGAGTTGCCAGGGTCAATCTAAAAATGGTTGCATTGTTCATGGAAAAACAGAACATCTCATGTCATGTTTCACATTCTAAGAGGTGATTTAGTCTTGTCCACTATCCAGAGCCTCATGAAGAGTCTGTAGGTATATAGTTCTTAAGGATAGAACCATAAATATTTTTATACAAGAATAGAATTTATTGCCAAAGTACAAATACTTAAAATAAAACTGCACAAATTTTTAATACAAATGTGTTTTCAAGAATATGTATGTATTTTCTAACAGGTAGGTTTGTATGTAAATTTTTGTGATTTTTATTACATTTTGTGATCTACAGAAGGCATCAATAAATTAGGTAACATTTTAAATTTTAATTGATTCCACTGTTTTCTCATTTTTTGCAGTGATTTTTAAAATTAGCATCAAGTCTCCTATTTTTTTCTGAAAGGAAAACATGGTTCTCTTTAGCTATATACACACACACACACACACACACACACTGTGTTTAAAATGAGGTATATATGGTGAAAATCTGTAGAAATAAAAAAGGAAACAATAGACTTTAAGTTTAATTCTATCCATTTTCCTGATGTAATACAACCAACTTTATTTTAAACTGAAATGGAAAGTCAAATATGATTGACTTTGTTACTCTGACAAACTCCATCTATATAGGAAATTACTTTGTCACTCTCTCCTCTTCATGTAACCACAGATGGCCTCTGATTCTACTTTTGTGAAGCGATATAGATTCAATACACTTCAAAATGTCTTTCTAACTTGAAATTACATATATTCCAGACTTGTGTTTCTGTTTATAAATATGGCTCACAGAGATATGAGTTTTATCTTAAAACATACAAAAAAACTCAAACTGATTTTACTAGGTTTTTATCTTGTTTTCAATGTAATATCATTAGAGAGTGATGTAAGATGCCAACTTGGATGGTATATGATCTCATTCTCCTACAAAAACTTAAACAGAGAATGGTTAGAAGACAATACAGATATAGAGACAATTAGGGGAAGTTATTACTTATTAGGGAATAGAATAGAATATTTGAAACTAAAAAACAACAAGACTCAAAATCTTGGGGAAATCTAAACATTTTCAAAGTAGTCTTTATTGGAGAATCAATCAAACACACACACACACGCACACACACACACACATCCATATCCTTAGAAAATATATATGCTATCGAGTCTATGTTGTGGTAGTCCCAGTTATAGAACATGACTTCGTGACTTGCTAATTAGTGATGGTCTTCTTATACACACAACTAATCTGTAAGACTAGGAAAGAAATCTGTTCTTTTTTTATAATTCCCAATTTTCAACAAAAGATTACAATAAGAAGAAACAGAAAACAAACATTTCTATTCAAAATAACAAAGTATAGATCTAGAAATTGTCCCTGTAAAACACAAGTATTTGATTTACAGGATGAGGACATTAAAACAACTTTATGAACAGAAATCTCAGAGGTAGCACTGTACTTAACAGTGAAACAATTTTCCTCTATGGTCAGGAAAAAAAGTCTTACCTACAACAATTAGGCAATAAAGAGCAATGAAAGTTTTTCTTCTAAGTTATTTAACTAAACTCATGGTAAAGTTTTTACTTCCACCGTCTCAATTCAAGGTACCACTGGAGCTTCTAACCAGAGTAAACAAAATAAATAGATAAATAAATAAATTGCACCCAAATTAAAGCGCAAGAGATTCAAGAAGTCACTAATACATTGAAAAGTAATTCTTGTTTATGAATTTAACAACTTAATATTATTAAGATATCAATAGTATACAATGTGGTTTACAGACTTAATGTTACCTACCCCTTATATAACTAATTTTTTACCATAAGTATAAAAAGCCATCAGTAATCCATATGAAATATTGAGGGACTCATAATATTCAAAGAATATTATGAAATAATTTGGGATAAATTGGGATGTCTCATTCTTGGTGATTTCCAAACTCATTACAATGTTACACTAATTATTACTAAGGAATAATTATGTTAATCATAATTATAGCTATATTAATTATAACATTTTGAAAATGTTATAACAAAAGTTATAAAAGATGAATGTAACAGAAAAGGGAGCCCAGAACCAAGCTCTCTCATTTTTGACCATCATTTCAAGACCAATCAATGAAGAAAAAGTCTTTTCAACAAAAAGAAAACTGAGTATCTACATGCAAAACTATATTTCATATATAAAATTAATTTAAATGGATTAAAATCTTGTTATGAAATTTAAAAATAATAAACTGTAAGAAGAAAACAGAGAAAAAAAGCTTTATGATATCAGGTTGATAACCATTCCTTAGATGTAACAACAAAGTGCAGTCAACAGAATAAATATAGATAAATTGGATGTCATCAAAATTAAAAATGTTTTTTATCAAATGATAATATAATTATAGTTAAAAGGAAACTCACAGACTAGGAGAAATTATTTGTAAATTATATATCTAATAAGGGATAAATTTACAGAATATATAAAGAATTCCTTTTAGCTATAAATGTCTCTAATTTCTCATTTTTTATGGCTAAGTAGTACTCCATTTTACAAAAAAAACACATTTTCTCTATCCAGTCTCCAGTTGATGGGCAATTGGGGTGCTTCCAAGTTTTAGCTATTACAAGTCATGCTGCTATGAACATGGGTGCACATATAACACTGTGGTATGATTCTTTTAATTCTCTGGGGAACTCTTAAGTGAAATAAATAGGACACATTTGTAAATACTGAATAGTTTCTCTAGTGTGAGAAACTGAAAGTGTAAATAAGGACTGAAACTTCTAACAGATAATGTGAAACAGGTAGAAAAGGGTCAAAGGTGCAAATTTCCAATGATGAATGTCATTATATTGCATACCTAAAATGTACCAATAAAATTAATTTAAAAAACAAAGAATTCCCTGTAACTCAGCATCAAAGAGACAAACATCTTGGCTTTTAAAATGTGTAGAGGATTTGAATAGCTATTCTTCTAAAGAAGATATTCAAATGCCCAAGAGCACTGATGAGAAGCTCAGTAACATTGATCAGTACGTAAATTGAAATCACAATTGCAATGTGATGCCACTTCATTTCCATTGGCAGGGCTATCATTAAAAAATCAAGATAAATAATATTGGGAAGAATCTTCAGAAACTAGATCTTTTTTATTTATTTGGTGGGAACAAAAACAGGTACAGCCACTATGGAAAACAGTATGGTGGCCCTTAAAAATTAAAAATATAAAAACTATATGATCCAGCAATTCCGTTTATGAGTACAATACATACTAAAAAGATTTGAAAAGGTTTTGAACAGACATTTTCATGTCTATGTTCATTTCTACCTTAGTCACAGTAGCCAAAAGGCAGAAGCAACTCAATTGTCTATTGATGAATGAACATTTAAACAAATATGGTATATAGATGTAATATAGTATTATCGAGCCTTATAAAAGGATGAGTTTTTTAATTTCCATGGATCTGTTATTTTCTCTAAGAAACTACTAGGTTTAATTATTAATTATTATTCAATTGTATGTTCTCCTGAAGAAAAGTAATTTTCCTTCATGGTTTTCTTCCTTTATTCTATCCTTTATAACACTGTTTGATCCATTTTCCCCAAATTGCTTTCTCCATGATATTCAAATTCCTCCAAATTTAATCATTTCTCTGTCTACAAGATAAAATCTCAAAGAATCCACCTTGCTATTTTAGGCCACAAGACAATCTGGTCATTAGTTGTGATGTGACGTGCACTTTCAAATTATGTTTCAACCCAAGTGTCTGCTTTCATCAAAAAAGCTTTTCCTTCATTATCTCCATGTTTTGAATCATGCCTTTCTCTACACTAGAAATTCCCATCTACTTTTGTATGCCTAAAATGTACAAATTCTGTATATTCTCTGAATTATCCTTAAGGGCATCATCCCATAACTGTTTGTGTCTTCTGAATTCTGATAACTTTACTTACTGTAATTTTGTCATTTGTTCTGAAGTTAATATTTTAAAATCTGTTTTTGTACACATACACTTTATTTAAAAGTGAAATGTAAATGATGTAACTACAAAGGGCATATTACATTTATTTTAACCAAAATATCACACTCTTTTTCAAAAAGAATATCTCTTGCTGAAATAATTTACTTTTGGGAAAGGAAATACTTACTGAAATATAATCATTGTTCAGAAAATTATTATAATCTTTTGTTGGTAATTCTGTCTGTATAAAATCATTATTCTGAGTATTGCTATTAGAAACAAACTTAATTTGACCTGAATCTGGTAAATTGATTGATTGATATAGCTTAGCATTAAATGTTCTTATTTTTTATTATTTTTGTCTCATTTTATAATATGACTAAATTACAATGAGACACATTTTATAAAGTATTTTAGGACTAAAATGCATAAGGACTTTTCCAAATCTGAGAGTAAGTAATACAAATTTTTATTAGTACATGTTTGCAGTACATACTATTTGCATTCAGTGTGTGAAGTTGGTAAATGTACATAATAGGGCTGAATTCCATTTTCATCCTCTTTCCCTTCTTCTCTTCATCTCTTTATCCCCTTCCTAACTTCCCAACTGAGAAAGATCTATCACCCTACTTTCTATTGCCTTCCTTTATTTTGCTTTTTGTTTATAATTTGAGGTTCTCATACAAGAGAAACCATGTGATAGTTAAGCTTGTGTGTCATTTTATAAAGGATTAATCAACTGAAAATATTAATATTTATTTAGAAGATTACTTTCTATTAGTTTAAAAATCTTTCCAATTTCTGAAAAAAACGAATAAGCAGGTAATTGCATACATAAATAAATGGAAACAACTTACCGTTCCACACAGTCAGAAAGCCTAGAGCAATGATTAGAAGCAGGGGCATCATGACCCCCTACAACATATAAGAATCCATTGTATGTTGCAACACCCACACCTCCACGTCTTCTGGACATTGCAGCACATAGATTCCACTTGTTAGTGTGCGGGTCAAAGTATTCCATTGATTTGAGGCAGGAGCTTCCATCACGTCCACCAATAGCATATATCCTAGAAAATATTATCATGTATGTGTGTGTAAAAAAGCACAAAACACATGGAAATTAGACTGAAGGAACCTCCCATTTCAAGTTTCTGAGGGTTCTGATTATATATTCTACTCTCTCATTGTTTTGACTTTGTGAATGGATACACATCTGGTAGCACCTGTTAAAGTCTAGGCTTCTCCAACCTCTTTAATTCAACATTTTTGTTAAAGTAATTTTGACATGCTAGATTAAAATATTCAATGGGAACTACATGTAGAAAAATGAGTGAAGTATCAAAAGATTTGAGAGGATTGTTTCAAAGACAAACTCCAACAACCTTACAATTTGACCCAGGTCCAATTTTCATGAAGTAATCTATGTAGCATAAGATATTTGCCACTAAAATAATATTAACTTAATAACCAAATAAGGGACTGGAATAGAGCCTAGAAGCTAGGTTTTTTACCTACAAGAGATATTGGTTATGACATTTTTTCATTAGCTTTGAAATATCAATTCTTCAAGGTATCAGAAAAAAAAGGAATGGTAAAATACCAATTCTTTTGATGCATAGTAAGTTTCTTTTCAATTTTATTAGTACATGTTTGTAGTACATAGTGCTTACTTTCCTTGTGGGGAGTTCGTACATATACATAATACACAATAATTTCATCTAATTTAAAATTAATCCAACAACATTAAACATAATAAATATTCATTAAATCATATGTCTATAACTGCTCTTCATGCTGATTTTTGAACAAGAGCATCTCAGCAAAACAAAACTAAATGGGTCAAAATCCATAATTTCAGCCTATTCTATTTTGTGTAGCCATCTGGTACTCAATTACCTAACATCATTCAGCTCAGACCAAATGCAGTCAGGTTTAAGAGTTCTTTAAGCTCTAATGCATTGCAAATACGTGTCTCTTCTTAGTTGCAAATATTTCTATTTCCCTTTGTGTGAGGTTCTAAAACCTGTCCATGTTCAAATTTCTACTGACCTCTTACATGATAAGGTATTGTCATCGTGAATGGTCAGTACAGGCACAAGGCTTAGTCCTATATCGACTCATTCTGTTATCTTAAATTCTTATCATGCAAAGCCCTTTAGTATGCTGGTCACTCTTTCCAAAGATCCAATGTCAAAAAGCACATAACTACTCAGTAATAATTCAACCTCTAGCATCATCTGGTTTAATATGTTAGTATGAATGATCACATAGGGAAGTGATAATAAGATGTAAATATTGAGGAAGGGGAATGTCTTATTTTATAGTGGAAACCCTGGACACTCAGGAAAGGGGTTGCTGAGGAAATAGACTCATCTTGTCACAAACACTGATGAAAAAGTTTTGAAAAATTGAGAGTAAACCATAACATACAAAAGTGGTATCTACTTGAGGTTATAATTGGATCTCGTCGCCTACAGCAATTTTCCCAAATTTTGGACACATACCTCCTGATTATTTTTTAAAAATGTAGATTCCTATTCAGGAGGTCCGTGGTGAGCCTATGATTTATCATATCTAAAAGCATCTGAAGAAATGCTGATGTTGTAGGACTACACTTTGAATAGCAAGCATCTACAGAACATTTATTTGTGTATTTTAGACACATATTTTCCATCATAAAGAATGGGGAGTTCCCACAAAAGGTTTTATATGAGAACAAGGATTTTCTGTTTATTTGAAATAAGTATTTAATGGGTTATGTCATTGAACTTCTGTACCACATGAGAGAGCAAAAAACATGTGTTTGGACTTACTTGTTGTTTAATGCTACAACACCAACTGTACTTCTAGGAATTGACATACTGGCCACATAATTCCATTGGTGTCCCTCAGGGTCCCATCTTTCCACAGTATTTAGATAGCTCCAACCATCATGACCACCTACAGCATACATGGGTCCTTCTAGTGTGACTACACCTAAAGGATAAAATAGTATAAAGACTCACCTAGGTGTTTCAAACACAATATTCATTGTTTTTTGCAAACAAATGACTATTCAAAAATTAGTATTTTCTTGATTTTTGTATGCATGAATAAATAACTATGTCTGATAAGAATCTAGGTATGATCCTTTATTCCTGAGAAACTTTTAATCATATTTAATTGTGTCATTGAGTGGTATCAATGTTGCAATACTGAAGTCAAAAGAGGTAGTGAAATGCAGCACATTTCTAGGCATATAATGAAGGCTGGAAGCTGCTTTTTTTCTGGCATAGCTTCATTGCTGTTTTTTGATTCAAAGAGTAAATAAGATGCAATGTTCAATCTTAGCTAAATCTTGCAATGTGAGCTGAATGTGGCATGTCTTTTCAACTCCTGTTTTTCAATATAGAGATAAAAAGATTGGGGTGTGATAAATAAGTAAATAAGGCATTTTAAAAATTGCTACATGTTTGCAGTACATGATGAATACATTTATTGTGGGTAGTTGGTACATATACATGAGACATCTAATTTCTTTTTCTGCTTCCCCTTCCCCTCTCCCTCCTTCTCTTAGTTCCCTTCTCATTTGCCAAAAATATATCTCCCTATTTTGAAGATAGACAAGGTTTTTGAGGGTTTAACTAGAGATGTGTCTTGCTAGTTAATGTAAACAGCTACTTTGCCTCACTATGTGTTCTGGGAATTCACATTCACCATCTTTACTACCCCAATCAGCCTCTCAGTGGTATATTCCCATTACTCCTCTTATCTCTATACTAACATTTATTAAATTGACAAGAGCTTGCTCTGATTTCTTTGCCAGACATGCTTTCTGATCAATATTTAAGAATGAAAATGACATAACTGAGATGAATATTTATATAGCAAATTATTTGGCAGAGACCATGTACCGTATCAGGATTATTGGTGGCAAGAAAAACATCAGTCCTGAATCTGCCACTTTATAACTGTTTCAAACTATTTTTAAAAAAATCAATTACTCTAGTTTTCAAGGAACACTCTGACATTGAAAACATATGGCATCTGTTATGAAGAGTCAGGAGACAAATATTCAAGAGAATCAAAATTACTTTTGGTGAAATGTAGTTTTGGCTTTTCTTCGAAGATACATAATCCATCGATCTAGATATACAACCTGTCTGTATCATTGTCTAAATTGAGCTGAAAGTTGAGAGAAAGCTTTCTGTTGCATTCTTAGGTTCCTCAATATAATATAACCCTTCCAAAAGGTGCTATGTTTCATAATTTGGAGCCCCCTTAAAAAGTGGTGGAAATGATGCAAAACTAACAAGTATGACACTTCTTACAATTAAAGTTTAAGATGATACTAGCATTTGTTTAAGCTTTTCAGCAATTTGGAAAATAATTTGACTAAGATTTTTCCTAAATTCCAATAAAGTACACTTCAGGTTAATTTTTAAAGGCTTTAATACAATAAATTCTTAAGAAACTGTAACATTAAGCTCTTACCTAACCCATGTCTATGTGTTGACATGGGAGGCATCACCATCCAGATTTTTTCCACTGGGTTAAAGCATTCTACAGTATTCAAAGTTTTTAAACCATCTCTTCCTCCCACAATATAAAGCTTATTATCAATAACTGCAACTCCAAACTGAAGCCTACGGCCATTCATGGTGCCTATATCCAGCCAACTATTGGTCCTGAGGTCATATTTTTCAATTGTAGTGGTACCTGTTAAAAGAATATGAAACAATGTTAAAATCACTTACATTAAAATTTTAAATTAACATCATTCATATTATATTTTATTTGTATTGCAATATCAGTGATTACTCTTCAAAATAAGTAAGTAACCCAGATGATGCTATAATCTGAAAGCTTAGAAGGCTAATACCTTTATCACTTCTAGATCAGAATGAAAGAGTCACAATAACATAATTTAAATACATGGTTAAAACCATCATAACACGTTTTTTAGTTATACTACACTATTGCTCGTACTGATACAGGTGTCAAACATCACATTTTACAGTTTAAACTTCTTGGGTTCTATTACTAAGTATTTACAAATATTTTACAGTTTAATTATTTATGAACATTCAATATGCTCTCTTATGCCCTTTTCTTTTAGTTTGAGTTGTAGCTTGTTTATGTGTATGCACTGATTTAAAAGAAAAATGGCTAAATACAAGGAATGAAAATTATTTTTATTTAAATTATTAGTGCTTATTTTTTTGCTTTTCACCATTTGTATTATTATTAATTGTTATGCATTCAGTTTATTGCTACATTTTAAGTGCACAATATGATGACATTCATCATTGGGAATTTGTACCTGTACACGTTTTATCATGGTTATTTTTCCCCATTCGCCTGCCCTCCCTTCAACCCCTCCATGTCTCCCTATATAGATTTTATTGTGGCATTGTCATACATGCATATAACATGATTTTATTCTATCTACCCTCCCTAATCCTCTCATATGCCCTCTCCCCTCCCTGGAGCATTTCTCATTCCCCAATAGTCATCCTTGTATTTTAATGGCATATGTTTTTTCTAAATTCCATACATGAGAGAAAACATTCCATATTTGTCTTTTTGATACTGGTTTGAGTCATTTAACTTAATTATCTCCTCTTCTATCCATTTTCCTGAACATGGCCACATCTTTGTATCTGAATAATACTCTATTGTGTACATACCACATTTTTTATCCATTCATATGTTGATAGACATGTAGACTGATTCCATAAGGTGGCTGCTGTAACGCTTATTATAATTCACTCATAATAGTTTCTGTTATTTTTTTTAAAGCTGATTTTGTACAACAAAGAAGCTACAAAATATAACTTTGGCAGCAAAAGATAAATTATTATTCACTTCTACAATATATGTAAGACATTTTAAGGCAGATTTAGGGGACTTCATCTCATATTTACAAAGCTACCTCTAAGAATATGCAAAAACCACTATCTGCTCCATTACTGAGAGATTTTTGGAGAAAATGAAATGCATTTCTTACAATGAAAATAAAGTTAATATTCATTGGCTATGGTATGGGGTCATTTGAAGTTAAAATTTAAGCAGAATATATATTAGATCTATAGCTGATTCTGAAAGCTTGTTTTGGATTAGAGCTGTCTCGAATAAGATTATCTTTTCTGAGCTAAAGATATCTGAGTGATATTAAAGCTGGAATATCTACAAACACATTTACTTTCACTCTACTTGCTTTATTTATATTTTTCTGAACATTTTAGTTTTTCCACTTTGTTGTTCCAATTTTCCAAAATCTTTCTTCCTATATGTTTCTCCTTGTTTTAACTTTCTCCATTAGTTGATTTACCAAAGAGCTAATTTAGATTAAAAAATGAAAGCTAGGTTGAAATATTTATTAAAATTATGGAGATATTTATTACAAAATTGAATAAAGCCACATTAATTAGCTATATACAAAAGTTTTACACTGAAAGATGCATAAGTATGCCTTATGTTGGGTTATATTTTTACAGACATTAGATTAAATATAAGAGGTAACAATATCTCACACTTGTTTTAAAATGATGATTGTTTATAACAAGTATCTCTGTATTGTGACTTCGAAAGACTTCCCTATCTCCTTTCATACCTTCCCAAAATGTTCTAAGTAATCAAGATATAAGGTCTCTAGCTTACTATGGAAGCTCTACATTTAATGGAAAAAATAAATTAGATTTCATACTGAATTACTTTTTTAGAAATTTTATGTGTAAATCAACCTCCTGTTAGAATGTTGCAAACACTGTTTCAGTTCATTTTTAAGCTCTTACTTAACCCATATTTATGATCCTTGCAGAGGGAACAAAGCCTACCAAACATTACAGTTTTCCTAGGAACACTACTACAATTTCTGCAGTTGTGAATATATCTGACAGTGACACCCTACCGAGGTCCTCAGCCACACAGAACACACGCCGAATCAACCCGCTGCAGACAGGCAGGTCTGTGCACACCCTACCGAGGTCCTGAGTCATGCAGAAGATGCCTAATCACCCTGCTGCAGACAGGCAGGTCTGCCCACACCTCACCGAGGTCCCCAGTCATGAGGAACACATGCTGAATCAGCCCCCTGCAGACAGGCAGCCACCTGATTCCACAATACAAAGACTCAGAGGACACCAGACCACCAGACCAAGGTACTGAGTCCCACTGTTCCCGGCCCAGAGGTAGG